ATATATCTTTTTATTGAGATCCTTATTTCTTTTTATAGTTCTGAGTTATTGTCTAGTGTCTAGTGTCATCTCATTTCACCTTGTTGGACGTCATTAGCATTTCATGCAGTATAGGTCTGCTGGTAATTGACCCTTTGTTTCCCTGAGAATGTCTTAATTTCTTGTTCACTGTGTGTGTATGTGTGTGTGTGACACACAGAGATGGAAACCGGAGCCTTCTGCATGCTGGCAAGTCCTCCAGTAGGCTATGTCCCTGGCCCTTTTCATTTTTTTGAGACAGGGTTTCACTCAGTTGCCCAGGCTAGCCTAGAACTTGTGATCCTCTTGCCTTAGCCTCCCAAGTTGAGTTTACAAGTGTGAGCCACCATGCCTAGCTCTTCCCCACTTTTGATGGCTTGTTTTGCTAAATATAGGATTTGTTGTTGGCTGTCCCCCACAACCTCCCTGCCCCATCCCCTCCTTTTAGCTCTTTGAATATATTGGCCCATGTCTCCTGACCTCCAGCGTTTCTGATGAGATGTTCTGCAGAGTATCCCCTGTGTCTGACAAGTTGTTTCTCTCTTGCTGCCTTCAAAATTCTTTGTCTTTGGTTTCACATCTTTATGTGGGTCTTCAGTTTGTTTTACTTGGAGTTCATAAGTTTCTTTATTTAAAAAAATTTTTTTATGTTGATGGACCTTTATTTTATTCATTTACTTATATGCAGTGCTGAGAATTTGAACCCAATGCCTCACACATGCTAGGCAAGTGCTATACTACTGAGCCACAACTCCAGCCTAGAGTTCATGTTTCTTGTATGTTTGTCTTTCATCACATTTGGGAAACTAAGTTTTGTTTTTCTTTTTTTTGGGGGGGAGGGGTACAGGGGATTAAGCTCAGGGGCACTTGACTGCTGAACCACATCTCCAGCGTAATTTATATTTTATTTAGAGACAGTCTCACTGAGTTGCCTAGAACCTTGTTTTGTTTTTTTAACTATATCTTTATGTGGTGCTGAAGATTGAACCCAGTGCCTCACACGTGCAAGGTAGGTGCTCTACCACTGAGCCCCAGCCCTAGCACCTTGCTTTTGCTGAGGCTGGCTTTGAACTTGTGATCCTCCTGCCTCAGCCTCTTGAGCCGCTGGGATAACAGGCATGTGCCACCGTGCCTGGTACATTTGGGACGTTTTCAACATTATTTCATCAAATATTCTCTCTGACTCTTTCCCATTTCTCCTGCTGGGATTCATAGTACATATGTTGATCCACTTGATGGTATTCTGCAGGTCCCCTAAACTCTGGTCACTTTTCTTCTTCTTTGCTTCTATTCCTCAGACTCAATAACACCCAGTTTCTTGTCTTCAAATTCCGTGACTCTTCTTCTTCTTTTTTTTTTTAAAGAGAGAGAGAGAGAGAGAATTTTTTAATATTTATTTATTTATTTTTTTTAGTTTTCGGCGGACACAACATCTTTGTTTGTATGTGGTGCTGAGGATTGAACCCAGGCCTCATGCACGCCAAGCACGCTACCGCTTGAGCCACATCCCCAGCCCCCCGTGACTCTTCTGCCTGTTCAAATCTTTCTTTGAATTGCTCTAGTGAATTCCTCATTTCGGTTATGCATTTTAGCTCCAGATTTGATTTACATTTGATTTCTGTTTAGTTTTGTTTGTCTCTACTCATATTTACCCCCTTTCATATATCATTTTCTTGACTTTCTCCACATCTTCTTTTTCAATTTAATTTAATTTTTTTTTGATATTGGGGATTTAACCCAAGGGTGCTTATCCAATGAACCACACCCCCAGCCCTTTTTCTTATTTATTTATTTATGGTACCAGAGATTGAACCTAGGGGTGCTTAATCATTGAGCTACATTCCCAGTCCTTTCTTATATTTTATTGGAGACAGGGTCTGGCTGAGTTCCTTAGAGCCTCACTAAATTGATGAGACTGGCTTTAAACTTGGGATACTCCTGCCTCAGCTTCTGAGCCACTGGGATTATAGGCTCCACATCCTCTTTTAGTTGTTTGAGAATTTTAAAGACAGTTGCTTTAAAGTCTTTGTCTAGTTGATCAGTCATCAGGTGTTTTTTTTCAGGGACAGTTTCTGCTGATTTTATGTTTGTCTCTTTGAATGGGCCAAGTTTTCCTGTTTCTTTCTGTGCCTTTTGAAAAACGGATAGTTGGATCTACTAATGTGATAACTCTGAACTCAGGTTTTACGTATGTGTCACATTTTTAGGAAGTCTTTCTCTGGCCACTCAATTTGAAATGGCAGACTTTCTCCCTGCTGAATGTTTCCTGTCCTTGTGGTTCATTTAGTTCCTTAACTTTTATCACCATCTATGAGCTGTACATATTTTGCTTATTTTCTTTCCTCTAACTGAAATGTAAGATCCATAAGGAGAGGTTTTTTTTTCCTTTATTTGTTGCTGTACCCCTGGCAACTAAAATTGTCCTAGCTTCTGATATTGCTTAGTTAATGAATAGAGTGTTTGATTATCCTGGAATAGATGCTTAATATTTATTTATACTCTATCTAATTTCACAAAGTAATAGAAGAGAAATTTCCAGTGGACAAATTAGAGCCCATGGGAATGGTTTAGACTGGAAGAGAGATTTGAGTGAAGTCATAGGAATATATGTCATATCTTAGGAGTGTAAGGAGTCACAGTCATAAAGAATGCCGTTATGGCATTTGCAAGTGAATGTATGGAACTGGAGGCTATCATGCCAAGTGAAATAAGGCAATCCCCCAAAGTCAAAGGTCCAATGTTTTCTCTGATATGCAGAAACTAATCCAAGATAAGGGGCGGGGTAGGAGAATTTAAAAAAAGAGAGAGGAAATAAAAAAGAGGGGAGAGAGAATTTCATTAAAATAGAGGAATGATCAGTAGAGTAGACAATGGAGACTGAGGAAGAAGAAGGGGAAGGAACGGAGAAGAACAGAACTTTTTGTATGTGCATGCATGGATGTGGCATAGTGGATCCTTGCATCAGGTGTATCCATAGGACACTAATTAAAAATAAACTGTAAGTGGTTGAAGAGGGATCAGTGAAGTAGAAGGAGGGGAGCTGAGGTGGGGAAGTGTGGAACAGCACATTAGGTTCCAGGCTATCGTAATTATGTCAAGGTATATCCTGGTGTTGTGTCATAACTAAAAAGAATTAAAAAAAAAAATAAAAAGAGCCAGGTGTGGTGGCGCAAGTCTTTACCTAGTAGGTCAGTATGCTGAGGCAGGAGGATTACAGGTTCAAAGCCAGCCTCAGCAACTTTATGAGGTTCTTAGCAACTTAGTGGTCTCAAAAAGAGGTGAGGTATGGCTGTTTTTAGCCCAGGGTCGAACATCCCTGGGTTCCTATCTCTGGTTACACCCACCCCTCCAAAAAGAAGGGGGGAAAAAGGGTATAAGGAATCAGAAGATAAAAGAACAAGGGATGGGATTCTGGAAACACCTACATGTAACGGTTGACCAGGGAGCAGCACTGTCCTTAGACTTAGCATGTGGGAACTCTGCTTTAGGCCCTGTTGTTTAGAGATCCTTAGCAGGTCTTCCTCCAGTTACGTACCTCACCATAACCTTAAGATGTTGAGGAGTCAAGGGACTAGTCTTATCTGGTCTCTTTCTTGGTCAAATTTTTAATTATTTGGATTCCAGAATTCTCTTCTTAGTATTCCTTCATAGGTACCTTCCCTAATTCTCTCCTCTGTCAACTGAACCACACAGTGTGTATGGTCTTCTCTAGGTCTAAGGGATGGCTAAGGAGCAGCTGTTTGCAGGCCTGTGACTGAAACCTTGGACATGTGGGGCTGGGATAACCACATGCTTGCATCTAAGGCCCCTGGTATGGAGTAGAACTGAAGGTGGAAGTGAAAAGGGACAGGGAAGGCTGCAGGCCAGGGGAGTCATTATGACTTCCCAGGCCCCTACAGAACTTGAGGGAGTCTGAGAATTCAAAATCAGAACTTGGTCATTCACGTTGTTATAGAGTATGTTTGTCAAGATAGAAGGAAAGAATAATAATTTAGCAGCTTTTTAACTTGACCTATAACTTTAAAATATTTAGACATGGAATATAGGATTCCATTTATACTTTTGCCCCAAGCCCTTAAAAAGCAGGATTGGGCCCACAAAAGAAAATGAAAAGGAGCAGAAAGGAAAAAATAAGTTCAAGATAAAAGTTTTAAGGAGGGAAAGATAAACAGTGTCAAATGCTTCATAGGCATCAAGTCTTATGAAAAAATGTTTCCATTGGACCAGAAAAGCAGAATTGAGTAAAAAGTTCAGTTGACTGGGGTTAGAATGCAAAAAAGCTGATTACTTTCTAGGACTTTCTCTGAGGATGGAAGAAACTAGAGCAGTAGTTGGAGGGGTAGACAGGATATTCAAAGAAGACTTTTCTATTTTAAAACTGAGGGGGTCTTTTAAATGTTTATATGTTGAACAAAAGGAGGCAGTGTTAAGTTAGAGGCTAAGGGAAAAGGGAATATTGATGGGCAAGGCTCAAGATTCACTGCATAGATTAACGGAAAGGAGCGGGTGTTTGAGGAGATGGGTATTTAGACGGTTATTGTTGCTAAGTCTGGGGAGTTAGGTTGCAGGAAGATGACTTAAGTGATGGTCGTRTATCATTCATATTGGGTTTAGGAGCTTGTTTTCTTTATTTAAAGTTGGATTTCATGTTCCTAAGCAGCAGGAGTTATGCTTACAGCCATTATTGAAATCCTGCTGTTGATTGAAATGTAGCTCATAATATGGGGTGTGGGCTACATGTATGTTGGGTGTGTCCTTAATCACTTGCTGTTTATTGGTGACTTAAAATTTTAAGTTTGATAAAAAATTTTGATTCTACTCAACCTAGAAATAATTTTTTTATCATGTTCAAATAAATGTCTGTCACCAAACTTTGGATATGATTTGTTTTAATAAATTTTTACTATCTAAATCATACTTATTTAGGCAAAATATTTTTTGGTAGGATTATATTAATACTCTCTTTTTTCCCCTCCCACTAGTAGTTCAAAGAACTGCTGGTTCAGGTTTTAGCTCTTGCCAAGTTGTGAAAATAGTGAAGGATGCTTAGACTACTTAATATTCAAATTGTAAGTAATTTTATTTTTACTATTACTATGTATATATTTAAGAAAACAGATTTTGAAATAGTCATTACCTTATATAACAACAACAAATGTCAGTATGATGGGACTGGAATTTATTTAGATTTTCTTAAGATATAAGAAAACTTCCTGTTTCATTTTGTTTGTGAGATTAAAAAAGAAGTCTGATGGTATTGAATCATTCTGAGGTAGTGAGATGAAATTTCTTCTTTTTTTTCAGATATTTAATTTTATTGTAAAAGTTTATGGAATTTCTTTATCAGTTTATTTACATATATATGATGCAGTAGTCAAGTTTCATGTAAAGGCATAATATTTATTAGGAATATATATTCTTTTCCATCTTAATATGCTTGTTTTTTTCTACATTCTTTAATTTTGACATATTCTGTTTGGACTGTTTTTTCTGTATGAAAAGCTTAATATATACAAAATCAAATAAGAGTAACTTAGGAATAGTTTGTTGAATAATTGCAGATGATGCACACGATCATTTATTTCTGCAAGAGGAAAAAAAGCTTAAGAGGTTTGATAAAAGATTGCTTGAAACAATTTGTTACGTTTTACTTTTAACTGTTAGCAAAACATTACCCCCCCCCAAAAAAATAACAAAGGCATTCCAAATGTTTTCCCTTTTGGGGGGGTACCAGAGATTGAACCCGGAGGACTCGACCACTGAGCCATATACCCAGCCCTATTTTTTATTTTATTTAAAGACAGGATCTCACTGAGTTGCTTAGTGCCTCACTTTTGGTGAGGCTGGCTTTGAATTCTTGATCCTCCTGCCTCAGCCTCCCAAGCCTCTGTGATTACAGGCGTGTGCCACCATGGCCAGCTTGGTTTCACTATTTTATTTTTAAACTACTTTATTTGAAAGTATAAGAAACTCAAATTACTCTTAGAATTCTGTAGTGTATGCAGTGTGAATACTAAGTGAGAGTGGTGCTATAAGCAAAAAACAGTTCTAATTATGTTATTCAAACAAACAAACCAAGTGAGCCAAAGGATAGAATGCATATTTTAAAACTAACATTTTAATTTGTTAAATAGGTAAAAAGTTTTAGAAATAGTCTCAGTCCAGCACATTTTATATATTCAATGCATAAAGTATTTTTAAAAATTTAATTAAGATGTAATAAAATTACATCTTGTAAAGGGAGAAAGATGTAACATTTTATCTCCTGAAGTGTATAACCATATCACCTGTATACAATAGCTTCGTAAAAATTTATTCAGTGAGTTCATGAACTTGAATTTAAACTCTTAAGATGTAGAATGCTCATTAGTGCCCTCTATTGACAGAGATGTAGAAACCTGTCCTCTTTTTCTTAGTTAAACCAGTTTTAGAAATTGAATTGCAAACTAAGTTATACTTTATATCTTTCCTGTGTATTTTTTATAACTTTCAAATTCTTCCTTCTTTTAGGCTCTATGGTTAATCATCTTTAGAAGACTGGATTTCTGGATAACTACTCTACTCCATCTCTATTGACTTTTAAAATATGATAATGCAAACTTATAACATTGGCAATCATCTGTGAACCTATAATTGCATTGATTCATAGAAGTTGAAGCTTCCTCAGGGAGTAAACAATGACATCAGCAGTGGTTGACAATGGAGGTTCTGTTTTGGAGCTTTCCAGCAATGGAGTAGAAAATCAAGAGGTTAGGCATCAATGTTTTACATTTCTATTTTGTTCATAGAAATCAATGTATGAACTAATTTTGAAATTAATTGGAAACAGTATTTGAGGGTAGTAATATACCGTGCATGAAATTGTATATGTACATGTCATGTATCCTCATATAATTTAAGTAATAGAAGTTGAAGAAGGTGCTGCAAGGCTGACTTGAATTTTTGGAACATGCATATGTTAAAATGAGCTTGGAGGAAGAAAAAAATAGAACATTATAGTATTCATTGAGATAAATTTAAATTCTAAATAAAATTGATTATTTTGGATTATAGAGCATATAGAAATATACTGTACCTAAATACCTAAATTAGATTCATCTTTTTTTAAAATATTATTTTTAGTTGTTGATAGACCTTCTTTTAAAAATTATTTATTTATATGTGGTGCTGAGAATCGAACCCAGTGCCTTACACATACCAGGCAAGCACTCCACCACTGAGCTACAGCCCCAATTAGATTCTTCTTAAGTTAGAATTTTATACCTGTTTTAAAAATTTACCATCTTTGTTTCTTGATTATTCTAAGTCAGTGTGGCGATCAATCATATTTTAATCTAATATATTGCATTTATGAATTTAGATAATTAAATCAAAAAAGAAATTCAGGTTTTGAATCATTAGCACATTTGGTCATTTTCTTGTCATTGAGAATATTGAAGAATAAAAAGATGTAAGTTATGGGCTGGGCATATGTAGCTCAGTTGGTAGAGTGCTTTYCTAGCATGTATGAGGCCTTGGGTTCAATCCCCAGCACCACCAAAAAAAACCAAAAAACAAAAAAAAAGATGTGAGTTAAAAATATAGACTTTTAGGTCTTAGCTTCTGTTCTCACTGTTCAGTGAAAACTGAATATTGGAAGGGCACTAAGTCATAATAAAATAGCACTGTCATAATAATGGATCCGTATTTGGTTAGAGAGGAGGTAAGAAAATGAATAGTTTTCCTAAAAGTTTCTTTTCTCTATTTTTTGTGAAAGATGCTATTGTTAGTGTTTGGTACCAACGTAATGGTATAATGGCATGCTTGAGAAACAAGTTAGGATTTTGGAGGTGTATATTTTGGACTCTGGATTCTTTTAATTGCTTGCTTTGTGTTTGTTGGGTCTTCCAAGTTCCAGATCTGTGATGGACACATTCAGTGGGAAGGGGATAAAATGTTAGTGGACTTGCTGACTCCTAAATGTTCCCTTTGTTGTATTTGAATCTAAAACTGGTTCAAAGCCTATTAAGAGAAGCCACAGCTGTAGAACATACTTTATTCCCACAATCAATTTGTTTTTTCCTATCTATGTGCATATGTACATAGATAGTATGTACACATAGACTATCTATGTGCATGCTTAATTCATTCATTTGTTCTTTGACAAGTATTAATTGATAATTTACTGTACATCAGAGAAACAAATTAGGAGTTTTTACACTTTGGATTATGATGGAATAATGGAGACCAACATAAACAACTAGCAGAATAGATGAAGCATATGAAACCATAGTTTAGAAACAGCTGACAGTATTGAACTGTGCTTCCTGAGAGAAGAGAAGGGCGTCTCTGTGATTAAACTGGCTTACTGCCACTTTCCGGGCTACAGGGTCGGGAAAAGGGACCAAAGCAGATTGTAACTGTCTCACTCAAATAAAGAAACAAAAATGAAAATTTGGAGAGGCTAAAGTGACTCATTAGAGGAGTAACGTATCCAAAAGGAAAAAAGTCCTCCCAGAGAAGCAACAGAACACTGCCCTGGGCTCCACTCATCCTTTGGCTTATTGCTCATTTGTTGAGATATAGGAAACACCATGAGGCCAGGTAAAGAATGGCCAAAAAGGCATAATTCCAGTAATATACTAAAAAATTTGAAATTCCTCAGGTCTGGGAGTCCTTGTTGAATGCCCCAGGGCATTTGTTAGAGATTCCAGAAGGGCTTTGTCAGACTAACCTAGTTCTAGAATTAAGGATAGTCCAAACTTGCCTTAAAGGTTTAAAAATAGGCCTCAAAAGTTGATGTAGGGGTTGGGGATGTAAATCAGTGGTAGAGCACTTGTCTAGTATACACGAGGCCTTGGATTTGATGCCCGGCTCCTCCTTCCCCTCAAAAAGTTGATCCATAAATATTTGTCATGACACTTAGCAGACACCAAAATGCATCACTTAACAATGTAAAGTTTTTGTGAAAGAACCAAATAAAACTTCTAGAGATGAAATACATACTGTCTGAAAAGAAAAATTTATTAGATAGGATTAAAAATAGCTTAGGTACCATAAAAGAAAGAAGAGATCAGTAAATTTGAAGATAGCCATGGAAACTACATTAACAAACCAAAGAGAAAAGAAGAGGACAATATCAAACAGAGGAACAATAGCTAGCAGTGGTGTTGCACGACTGTAAGCCCAGCAGCTCAGGAGGCTGAGGCAGGAGGATTGAAAATTCAAAGCCACCTAAGCAATTTAGCAAGACCCTGTCTCTAAATAAAATATTTAAAAAGGCTAGAGGTGTGACTCAGTGGTTAAGTAACCCTAGGTTCAATCCCCAGTAGCCCCCTGAAAGAAGGAATAGAGACTCTATGTTATCTGGGACATCAGGCTGTCTTAAGATGCACGTAATTTGAATCCCAAAGTGAGAGAAGAGGGGAACCTAAGAATATACATGAAGAAATAATGATCATACATTTCCCCAACTTGATTAAAATAGACCTATTGGACTGGGGTTGTGGCTCAGTGGCAGAATGCTTGCGTAGAATGTGTAAGGCACTGGGTTTGATTCTCAGCTCTGCATTAAAAAAAAAAAAAACAATTAAAATAAACTTATAGGAAAAAGAAGAAGAACTAAGATAATCACTACAGATATCTTTGCTGAAACTATGCAAGTCAGAGGATAATGATATCTTTAAAATGCTGTAGAAATAAAACTGTCAACCTACAATTATATATCCAGAAGAAAACTCTTTTCAAGGATTTTTTTTCCCCAAACAAAATCTGAGAGAATTTATTGCCAACATATTTATCCTACAAGAAATGTTTAAAATAAGTTCTTTAGGCAGAAGGTAAATGATACCATCTGGAAACTTGGATCTACACAAAGGAATGAAAAGCACTGGAGAAATGTTTTATGTGTGGGCAAATTTAAAATTCTTTGGAAAATCAATAGAAATGTTTATTGTAGGGGCTGGGGTTGTGGCTCAGCAGTATAGCACTTGCCTAGCATGTGTGAGGTGCTGGGTTCAATCCTTAGCACAACATAAAAACAAATACATAAAATAAAGGTATTGTGTCCAACCAGAAATTTAATAAATAAATAAATAAATAATAAAAATATTTTTAAAAGTTTATTGTAGTAAAAACACTCAATATGGTATTGACCCTAACATTTTTAAGTGTATAAAATGATTTTTTCTTTTTTGAAAAAGTTAATTATTCAAGGCAAAAATAAAAACAATGGAGTTTATAATGTGAAGAAGTAAATATATTACAGTAGACTGAAAGATTGAGAGGAGAGAATTGGATACTATTATAACTTTTATTAAACATAAAGTAGCATGTTATTTGTAGGAAGCATAATGTAAAATCTAAAGCAACCACTAAGAAATAAAGCAAAGAAACAAGGTTTGAAATGAAATTGGTACCAAAAAACACTCAGTTCAGTGAACAAAGAACAAGGTGGTAGATTTAAACCCAGTTTTATTGATATTAAATGTAAATATTCTAAATATTCCAATCAAAAGGTAAATATCAGATTGGGTTTTATAAAAAAGCCACATCCCAGCAACTCAGGAGGCTGAGGCAAGGAGAATTGTAAGTTCTAAGCCAACCTCAGCAACTTAGCCAGACTCTGTCTCCAAAGTAAAATTTCAAAAGGGGCTGGAGATGCAACTCAGTGGTAGAACACCCTTGAGTTCAACCCTCAGTACCACCAAAAATGTAAAAGTATAGAAATAGATACATATTATATAAATATTAATCATTAAAAAAGATGGATTTCACTACCAGGGATAATGAATTTATCATAAATAATAAAAGAATCTTTAAGCATGAACTGACCAAACTGAAATAAAAAATAGATAAATCCACATATTAGTTGATTATATTGCAGCATACCTTTCTCTGTAATTGATAGAATAAATATACACAAAGTCAATAAGGCTTTAGAAGATTTGAATGAAATTATCATCTTACTTCATCTATGGATATTTATGGACTCTGCCCAACTGTAGCAGGAATACACATTTATTTCAAGCTTACATGGTCAATTAACCAATATATGTTGGCTATAAAACAAATCTCAGTGACTGAAATTATATGGAGAAAATTATCTGACCAAAAGGGAATTTAAGTAGAAATTAGCAACAGAAAAATACTTGCAAAAGTCTTTGACTATTTGGATATTAAGTAGTTTACTTTATGTATCTCATGAGTTAAAGTATAAATCATGGGCCAGGCGTGGTAGTGCATGCCTGTAATTCTAGCGACTTGGAGGCTGAGGCAGAAGGATCATGAATTCAAAGCCATTTCAGCAATTTAGTAAGGCCCTAAGCAACTTGGCAAGACCTTGTCTCAAAATGAAACAAAAAGGACTGGGGATGTGGATCAGTGGTTAAGTGCCCCTGGGTTCAATCCCTAGTACCCTCCCCCCCCCCAAAAAAAAAAAAGAATAAACCACAAGAAAGAAGATTAGAAAATGAGAACTATCCAAATTTGAGGGATGAATTAAAAAATTTGAGGGATTTAACTAAAGCAGTACTTAGCTACTGTGCTTAAGGACAAAGTTGAAAGGCTTATATATCTGACTTGAAGACTTACTAAAAGCACCACTGATTGAGATGGTATGGTACAGGGGAACCAAAAGATGTGGATCAGTGGAGCATAATATAGGCCCACACATACAGGCTGCTTGATATTCAGTAATGGAACTAAGTGGAATAATACAATTAAATGGAGAAAAGATAGGCTTTTTAACAAACGATGGTGCAACAATTAA